CCCCCCCGCACACCCCACTGAATCCCTCGCACTGCTGGACAACTGTTGCTGGTAGTGCATCCATTATTACAGCATTACGATTTGCCGTCGTGCTGAGTATGTGCAGTCTTATGCATATATGCAGGAGAGTTCGTGCTTGTACGTGTTATAGAGTGTTCGCATGCTCTCTCTCGCCACGTGTACGTGTAACGAAGTAACGGGATGCGCGCATTAACACCTTTCTTCGACGTCGCGATGTACAATACTTATTTCGGCGATGTCCGCGGGCAGATACACAACATTAGTCTCGTAACGTATCACTATATGTACGATCTCATCGTATTCAGAATATTCGGATCATCGTAAGAGCGGGAGAACACGTCGAGAGAACCTTGTTCGCCTCATGTCGACACGTATAATTCTGAATGTTAGAACCACGCCGGTTCGCGATTAATCGAACATCCTCAACGCATCGAGCGCGCAGCATCTTCGTTATTACTTTCCGATTATTAATCGCAAGATCGTACCTCGCGGAGGTGAACGTACGCGTGCGTTTCGTTATAGATATGCCATTAGAGATACGTATCTCTGTGCGCGCACGTGTCTCTATTCGCCCCGCGCGAGAAATGACAAATGCACGTGTATGCCCAATACGTACACACGTACCATCGTCGGGTAGTCTTACGCGAGCGATCGAAACGGCCAACCAGCCAACCAACCCATCCAACCGACCAATCCTGGCTTTATTATTACGCGGTGGCACCGTGCAATTCGCGCGGGCCCGAGCTTAACGTTCGTAAAGCACGTAGGCGTTATCGCGCGAACAAGGGGTTCCTTTAATATTTCGATCAGCGCGCTCGCGAGTTATTATCCTCGCAAATCCCGCCGCGGGCCGGTCCGTGCGCCCGCATGAAGACATTACACGAATGCCCCGCCCCGCCGAAACGTTCGAACGCCGTAATTACAATTGCTGCAGGGGAAGAGGCGGCGGGGGCGGGAGCGGGGGCGAGAGTCGCGCGTGACAAAGGTAATTGCTCCCGTGTTAATTCTTGCCAAATGTATCGACGACACGTCATAATTCAGCGAGTTAGTCTTGCGAGAAACGTTTAACTCTTAATTTTACAGACTCGTCGTTGATGTTTGTTCAAATCTGACATCTTTTTGTAGACTTTTGTATAAAGAGCTTTAATCTAAGTATCTTAAATTATGAAATATTTATTTGCTTTTTTTTACCGTAATTTCTTAAAAATCCATATAAAATTTTATAACATAGACATTTCGAAGAGAAATAATGTCTTTTAAAAAATATTTGGAATATTTTGAATTACGTAAATTATTTTGTGTAATTAAACAAAAAGGATTTGTGTGAGAAAGATGTTATAACGAGGTTCATAAATATTATGATAAATCTTATCGTGATAAACAAATGTCGCATAAATATTGATATATTATATAAAAAATCATGTAAGTTTTTACACATGTACTTTTTTTCACTGCTGATATCTGCCGATAGCTCTTATCGGGACAAAGTGTTTGCAAAACGGATTCTCGAAAATGTAGAATGCTTAGAAGAGAATTCACGACGGAATCTGATGTCATGGATACATTGCCTCAAGCGATCAATCATCTCTCCGGAGAAATAGCACCGACAAGGATACGTAGTTATTTAGAACGTAGCGATTTTTTTAAAACATAAATTTGACACGTACTAATGATTCACCTAAGGCTTGATCTGAACAGTAGAAACTCGCGAGGCACGTCAAACTACAATTGTCGCGATCACTTTCATGTTTCTCGCGCGGCAAAACCGGTTTTGCTCCCTCGGACTATTTTCATCAAAGACACGAATGATCGACAAACAGACAAATAAACAGGCGAGCCTCTAATTAGCCAATGAGAGGAACCTTCGTTCCCTTGTCGTCGCTTATACATCAAGTTTGAATACAGAAATAGAGTGCCCTAGGCAATCGCTATCTCTGGCAACTCGCAAGGTAAACCGGGATTTTGCTGACTTTTATAATTGGTATCAGACGCTTCTTCATTCACTTGTTCTAAAAGCAACTAGTAAAAGAGATACCCGTTTGCAGAATATGTAAATAGCTTGTACCATTAATGTACAAAATACTATAGAGAAACTTAATAATTTTAAAGAAATTAATTACTAATATTAATTTAATGTAATACAATTTAAAATTACTTTATAAATATTAAAAGTTAATAAATTAAATGTATAAGAAAATTGACTACATTGGAAAATGCAACCATTTACATGCCAATGACTACTATCGTTTCGTAATTTCATGTGTAATTTATTATCTATATAAATTACAAAAGTTATTAGCTATATTTTTACTTAAGTTTACGTTATTTTATAAAATTATAAACTCATAGAATAAATTTGTAAAAGCGTGCTTAGATATATTTTACATGTATGCACGCTCTATCATTACTATACTCGTAGTGTATAAAACAGCAAAATTTCAATTTTCATATAAATAACCGAAGTCAATCGTAGATAACACCCGATTATCTATCGAGCATCGTGTGTATCATCGTATACACGAGAAATATCGCGACATACATTTGCGTTGATTCTGGTTTTAACTGCCAGTACTTCCCTGCCCGTCCATTATTTTTTCCTCGCCACGGCCGATAATGTTCTATACGACCTTGAAATCCACTATAAGAACCGAACTTGGAAACGATTGGATTCAGACTCGCTGAGAAGTTCGTCGCGATGAAGCGAATCCTGGAATTGTTCGTCCTCGCGACGATCTTGGTCGTATGTTCGGCTAACTGCCGATCGAACTTATATGGATATCAAAATTATTACCAGTGTGAAAATGTCACGAATCTGCAGGTATTGATTTATTTAGGTACTGGTTTATATATGATTCAAAATTTTAAACTCTTTCTGAAACTTTCCTTCAAGAACAAAAAATTTCTTTTCAGATTGCTTACTATAGAGATAATTTGAATAACCGTAACACTGAAGAAATGTGTCACAATGGGATATTTCTTCAACCATAAAATTAATACTAATTAATTATTAGATTTAAAATGACATTATATAACATAAAGTTATTGTATTCTTTAAATCGTATGTTTATCAATCATATCTCTGTATGCACCTATAATTACAGATACTCTCAGTGATACCCAAAGGAGTAGTAGGCATCAATATTAAGAACTCGAACATCAAGAAAATACCGACAGACGCATTCTCGATGCATGCCGAGTCTCTGGAGGAACTCAATATCACCGGATGCGGCGTGGAAGAGATCGAGAATAATGCGTTTCGGGGTCTCAAACTACGCGTGCTGAGTTTGGTAGACAACAGAATTCGTAAACTAGACTCATTGTGGATTCAAGATTTGACGAACCTTAAGGCGCTCATTGTGTGGCGCAATCGAATCGCCGAAGTTGACGTGCAATTATACGATTTGTTGCCGAATCTAGAGCTCTGGGATATCGCGCACAACGAGATGAACGCTTGTTTACCTACGGAATTACTGAAGAAGCTAACGAAACTGAGAAAGATCTATCTCGCTGGCAATCCATGGTCGTACCGATGTCGCCGTTCGATGACGTGGTACTTGGGTAGTAATCATATTCGTTTTGTCCAAGATTGGGGTAGCAGCGATATGCTAATTGAAGAATGTCTCGCCCATGAGCCAAACGCCGACGTCGACGACAATGCTTTATCCAAATGCGTTGATCGCAAGGTCGGCTCTACTGAGATGCTGCAAACTGTGTCTGGACTGAGTGAACAGATCCGAGAACTCTCAAGAAAAGTCACTGAATTGGAAATCGAAGTCGCCGCTTTGAAGAAAACCGGATATTAATTCATCAAAGCTTGGAATCTTTTTACCTATTTATGAAATTGCGTTAATATATAATGCGTCAATATAATAAATTTTAACAGAACATATAACATCGACACATAATAATTCAGTAATTTTTAAATTAAAATTAAATATCGTTGCCCGCGATTGCAATTGTAGCTGGAAATAACGCTCCAAATACAATGAGCTTTGATAAATTGATAAGACCACTTATTTCAAATGCGATGTGCGACTTTGAAATTATATGACTTTTCAACGAGATACAAATGATTGAATCTAAAGCGTAGAAAAACTTTCAAAATTGAATATCAAATAAACGTTTAAAATAAACGCTTCCAAATTCTCACGTAAGAGGCAATTGGTGATGCGATTATTCGCGCTCGAAATGATTGAAATATTATACAGCGATGCGCTCTGTAATAAGAACATCTACTTTGATATTCAGTCGCATCGCATCCTCGTGTCATCGATATGAACGATATATCGAATTTCAAGTAAATTTTTTTTAAAAGTTTTTCTCTCCGCAAAGTTTTCTTTTTATATCTGACAATACGCTCGCCGACAGTTCTACAATCAATAATAAACCGTATATTTATAAATCTTGTCGTTTTCGTTTTTTCCCAGTTAAATTGAGAACATTTACAAAAATCACTATACACGCACTTTTGATCCGCGAGGCATTCATAGATCACAGTAACGTGTCGCTTAATACGCTAACATATTAAATCATCCTACGTCCGTGGAACTACGGTTCTCTCTGCAACGAGACAAGAACGTTCCAGTTCAGTCACCATTCATCAGTGTCGATCAAAAAATGCGTACCGTGTGCAAACGTATAGCAGATCGCACCCGTACTTGCATTCATAAGAGATCTTTAGGGCGGTTTCCGCGATCATTAATAATTCCAAGACGGCGAGGTGAGCGGGAAAAAACGGGAAGGGCGTTGGCAGTAGAGGCTAAGAAGGTATGTACTGGCCTGCAGCGTAATTGTAAGTGAGAGTTTGGTTACAATGCGTCTATTGCTCACATGTCATGCTAAAAACATACAGACGATATCTCGATGCTAACGAGAGATATTTGATACGAATGTAGATTGCAAGGCTCTTTAACGTTTATTGTCGGCCTCAATAAATCTTAAAATTTAATGACAATTATAAAAATTAACTCTTAACCTTTTCAGTATGGCATACCCTTTTTTCCAATGTTTTTTTCATTGCTATAACTTTTTTATTATATGTATTAAAGAAACATAGATACATGTGTTTGATACCGTTATGTTTCTTAATATCTGACGTTTTGATTAAAAACAAAATTTTTACAATATATTAATTTTTATAAAAGTTAAATTGAGAGTCGAGTATGTCATATTAATGTATTATTCCTATAGATAGACCTTTAAAGATTAAATTAAACTACGTATAACATTCTTTCAAGAAATTAAATTCGGATTGTAAGATGATAACTTGGTATTAATTTTAAAAAATCGTTAGAGGAAGATTAATGTCATAAGAAGACGAGTTAGTTTATTTCCAAATTATAAAAAAATAAAGAAAATATGCTTTAAAAAATCGGTTTTCCATTATAACAAATGGTTTGTGAACAGATTGTTTCATTTTATCCATATATAGGATAATCGCGCGAAAATACAGAGATCCTTAAGTATTGCAGAATAACAATTTTGCTTACACTACTCTTTTAGAGAGTTTTTATCCCACAGCTCAGATAAAAGTTTTTTAAATAATTTATTATATATTGTTAGTGCGCATTCTAGAACCATACACATAGTAAAGTTGTCTTAGGTATCGGCTAGTGATGAGATGAATCGGTTTACTCAATCGTTTTATCGTATGATCTATGACGGATTTCACGGTGATCGACGCGATTCGTAAAGTCGACACGGTAGAAACATACACACACACGCACGCACACACACGTACATACAGTAGCCATGTGGAAAGGACATTGTTCCACCTACTGTGCGCAAGGAAACTACCGGTTCTCCGTGATTTATGGAGAGGGTGCCCGCTGCTCGTGCTGCCACACCGCATCCTCGGGGTCCTCCTCTTCATCGTCGTCTTCGTCTTCGAACTCCGTCCTCGTCGCAATTTCACCGTGAAACATTCTCCGTATGCAGGGATTGCTCCAGTTCCCACGTGGCGAGGACTGTGCTCCTTCTCTCTATCTCCGATTCTCTCTCTCTCTCTCCCCCTCTGCCGCTATCTGTTTGCCTCTCCAAGAGCGTTCGCTCGCTCGCCGATGCGAGTCATACCGCACGCTACGCGCGGTTATCTATGCACCGCGCTGCACATGCATGCCCTACTACGCACGCCGGTACCTACCGATGCTGCACGCGGTGCATTAACATCGCCGGCTGCAACCCGGAAATCCGAACGTAACATGGGCTCGATGAAGCCCCATCACGTACCGCTGTACCGCGTACCGCCCGTTGATCTCGGCGAAAGCTCGGCGATGCAAGACACCGCCAGATCTCGAGATCTTCTCGAAATTAACAATACCGACGCAACGTTAGTTATACCGCGTATGCAACATATGAAGAGAGTCACAGCATTAAAAAAAAACACAGAAAATAAAATATACATCCTTTCCCCGAGTATCTCTCATAATATATTTTAATACATCCTAACGCCAAACAGGATCAGAGCTTTTCAGGCTATATCCTATCGGCAATGCAGCCACCGGCAGGATTGTCAAATTGTCGTGCACGGAAGAAAATGTAAAAATCAAAAGAATGGTATGTCGTCGATACACCACGGTTCACCTGTCCGCTGAGCTTCACTAGTACAACGCCCTTTTGTTCGACAAATAGAAAAAAAAGAGGGAAGGAGGGTGGCTGTGCCTAAGATGAAAGCACCGAGGCGAGCCTCGCGGCCGGCTGGAACCCCGCCAAATAATATACCAGCGCCCTATCCACGCCTCTCTCGTACAACTACCTCTCTCTGTTCCTCTTTCTAACGAGGCAGCAGTCGTGTTACTATCGGCTATACGAACCCCATTGGAGTACTTTTATATTTATTACGAGAATATGAGAGAAAACGCGGACGAGGAAGAGTTTGCCAACTGGCAGAAACGAAGAAGGAAAGAGAAAGACGAATGATCGTCGTTGTTACGTAGCGCATATAATCGAGGAGGAGCCGGATGATTCTAGCCCGTATTTCGGCTTTTGTCATACCGCGAAGTGGTAAGCCTCTTCATCGTCATTCTTCCCGTGAGGAAGGCTTATACCGGTCTTTTCCGCATGTTGCCGTTCCCTGGATTTCGTAGACGTACTTGCATTCCCATCTGTAACTGTCAACGACTGAGTATCTACCAACTGAGAAAGCGATGCGAACGACTTACGGGTCAACGTCGAAATTGTCACGGTTATTTTCGACGTTCGTTTAGTTTATATCCGCAAAGAAGGTGATATCTTATGTCCTCTTAGCAACGTTTATCAGTACTTTCTAATTATTAACGCAGCGTGTGAAATAATGAATGAATCATGTAAATTATTCTTTGTACAAGACGACACCGACTTGTCGCTGTAATTATCACACGTAATATTTTCTCAGTTGAATAAGGTATTAATGATATCACTGATAAAATAACGATATTCTGAATTTTTTATAAAATAAGAGAAACAAACTATGGGATAAAAATAAGACAAAATAAATCTTATTATACAATTTTTCCTAAAAGGTTAGATTGTGACATAAAAACGTGAGACAGTATGACCGCTAATTTAAGAACTTACAGTTTTCTGTTAATCTTTGTTACAATATTTTCTCATGATAATCTAATAAACAATTTATCTTCTTTCCTACATTTTTCCATATTACATTATCGTACATTATTATATGAAATTTAACTAGAAATGCTTTATTGCAAAGTTATAAACAAATATTGACACGAAATATTTTTGTAGCCTTTCAGTAGTGAGTGGAACATTGGCATTTTCATGGCAGTTGCTATTTCACAACGATGGAAATCTAACAGCTATTCTTTTCGAGCGTAGTCGCTGTTTCAGAGCTGAACGAATATCATATATTCACAGGTCGAAATGATACTGCATCATTTAAAGATAGCAAATATTATATAATGTGAATATACACACGAGATAAATATTCGACTTTCCGTATACGAAATGTACGTTTTCATGTTCTACGCAAAGGAAAATTCATTATTTTATGTTCCATTTTAATATTTGTTTATAACTTTGTAATAAAGCATTCTTAGCCAAATTTCATATAACATTTTTTAATTTCCACTTATAGAATATGTTCCCACAGTTTGTCCGTTAAATCCTGAGACACTCTATATATAATAAACACTCTATATATAATAAAAATAATACGTAATAACAATGATAAATGACAGCTTTTTAGAAGAGAATGAACAAGAGATGCTATTAAAACACGCGAACGGGAAGCTATAGACGAATTTGGGAACGACGATTACAGCTTTTCGTTATTTCTCGTCGCTTTTTTTCGCGCCATCCGCTCCCTTTTTCCGCCTTCGTGTAACGAAATGTAAAAAGAAGAGAGAGAGAGAGAGAGAGAGAGAGAGAGAGAGAGGAAAAAAAGAAAAAGAAGGGGAAGAAAGTAGTTCGCGGCGTGCACGAGTCGGCTCTCTCGCGTGTAGCCGAGTTAAACCGACGCGGCGGTGATTGATGACGCTTCGGTGTAACGATCGCCTCTGCACCCGCGAACGTGGCGCCGGGTTAGGCTCCACCGGGAGACACGAATGAGAGAGAAAGAGAGCCGGGGTGGAAAGGGAGCGAGGAAGAGTGGAAGGAGGCGAGGCAAGTGAGACAGATGGACGTAGGAACGGACGAAACCCCTCGTTATCCTCGATTTTACAGGAATTAAAGGGCCGATTACGCGCGACCGCCACACCCGCGATTAAGACAGGCGCGGATTAAAATCGTGCCGCTTGGTGATTTTACATCTGACTAAACGTCGCTCGCTACCAACGTATTTCAGTTAACTCGGGACTTTTGGTTAACTCGACGTGATACATAAATTAACATTATAGCGTCGCGTTCGGTGTTAGCGGTTAAAGATTAGCGTACTCGAGTGCCTTTATTTTTTTTTGTTATTAGCTTCTATCGTCCAAATTAAAAAAAAAAAAAAAAAAAACGAAAGCAAATGACAAAAACTAGAAATGTTACTTTTAAAATTTATATAAATTAATTTATCGATTTCATATCAATAAATTAATCTATATTAATTTCATATCAAAATTTTATCGTAATAGTCAAAATTTCCAACATAGACTCTGATTTTCAGTATATAAATTCACAGATACTTATTGTAGAAATATAATTATCGATCTCTCCAAAAGTACCAATTTAGAATAAATGATATTGATCATATCACATACCACGTTATACAGATTCTTGAGCATAACAGGAAATCTGTATAAAGCTTTTCTTTTGCAATTTGTAAGACAGTAGTAAATTTACGGTGAAATTGAAAAATTTATCGCGGCAAACGACCAGAGAGAAAAGCGGAGAAAAGAGGGGAGAGGGAGAGTGGACAGAACGGGCAAGAATTTCGACGGGCAAGAAATTTATCGCCTGTACCACCGAATTCGCTGGAGAAGCCGTCATTCGGGCTGTTAACTGTCCCGCTGATAATGGGAACCGTCTGAAGGCAGTCTGGTAGGTACGTATATATGTATATATAAATATATGTGTATGTGTGTGTATGTGTATATAGATATATATAAAGGCAAGACAGTGACAGCTTCTCAAGAGAGGACACGACCAGGTCGCTAGTAACTAAAGCCATTAATCGCCCGCCATACTGCCTACCTCGTCCAGTCATCCCTCCTTGGCGGTTCCGCCACTCGTCTGAGCATCCACTTGCAGTATCCTCATCCCTATCGCTTTCTTCCCCCTGCCTCCCACCATCTTCTCGTGCTCCATCTCGCATTGAGTAGCAGCCACCGTGGGCCTTGAGCTCGTCAAGTCGCCGGCTTGGAAATTGCTTTCCTCATTTATAACCGGGCCACTGTCCGACCCTTGTTCGCCTTGCCCCTTTTCTCGGCGATCCTTTGCCACCCCACCCTTCCGTTAACCTCATCCCCGAACTGTCCCTTCCGCCTTCGCACATCT